GTTAAGGGTTCACGGTTTGAGAACCTGTAGTTTATACCAGCTACTACCATAGGGCCATAGGGTAAGTTCTAGAAACTCTTAAGCGGACCTCCTCTCTACATCCTCCCAGAACCTGGAATGTTGTGATCAACCACATTACCGCCACCGCGGAAACATGGAACTCACATGGCGTTCTTTTACAACCAGTTTTTGTAATGTGTATATACAAGGCTACATGTAAGCACACCTTAAACCCTAAACGCATGGGGCCTTCTGAGGGTTCCATGTGCGTCTGGGGGTGGGCAGCTACAGGAAAAGTTGTGAGACAATAGCCAGACATCCCTTCTGGGGCTAGATTAGGGTGTAGGGTTAGGGTTTACGAACTAGTCTCCCGGGCATTCCCCCTTTCACTAGTTTGCATGACCTCCTGAACCCTAAACTACCAAGGATTGCCGGGCTGCAAAGGGTCTTGTAATCGTGTTTTTTTTGGGGGTGTGTAGCACCCTTCTCAGAACCACCCATGGTTATCAATGAAGCCCAAGGAATAAAACCTTGCATCCTGTTTCAGAGTGCCAGGAACAACAACGTGTCCGCTGACAAAGTCCGGCTCAAGCTCATAAAAATACTGAGCTAGCAGGATCTTCGCTAGGCTTCCCTGAGGGACGTCGAATATGCCCCTTTGCAGATCTTCAGAGTATTTTCTGGATATGATAAAACTGCTCGTGGGATTAGGCTGTCTGTTGTTGAGAACTGAAAGCGGTGTCTTGTGCAGTGGAGACAGTTGTTTCTACCAGTGTGCCAGGAACAAAAGAGTTCCTTGGGTTTAAGATCAAACCCCCAACCCCAAGCCCGGAAGGCGAAGGCCTGTGTTCCAATTTCCGAAAATGATGGGTCTCCATAATAAGAACCGGAGTTCTTGGGGGGTACACAAGTGGACTCCTAGGTATTCAAGCATCGAACGTCCTAAGCAGCAACCAAGGAAAGGCCTGGCCGCTTTCGCGCTTTTCGCTGCGGCAGTCCCCGCCGCCAGCCAAGATGCAGACCGTGCCCGAATTCTATCAGAAATCCAGGCCTTTTGCTTGACAACCTTCAGGATTTATTTGAGGTATGGTCAGTGACAGTAGGAAGAGAGTAGGCTAGAAGTAGGAAAAGCAGGAGTCGACGTACCATAAACCCTGAATGTGAAATTGTAGTTTCCCAAAATAATGGAACCCCAATATAGACCCCCAAATACTATAGTCCTTACTATGGGGACCCCCCGAAAGGTACCCCTAATTTTGGGAAACCCCCAAATGCCAACCCTACTCCCCGCAACCTCAGTTTCAAAGAAGGCCCCGGGAAGCTGAACGTAGACCCCAAGATATTATGATCTGTCATAATATCCTTATCATGGGGGCCCCCGAAATGGTACACCTAATTTCGGGAAACCCTAAACCCTAAACCCTCCGTTTCCGCTATATTCATCTTGTTAAAGGTATCCCTAATTTCCGGAAACCCTAAGCCTAATTCCTAAATAATTATAGCCCCTATACATCCCTGTTAAAGATAGCCCCGAAAACCACCCCCTAAATCCTAAACCCTAAACCCTGAACCCTAAACCTTAAACCCTAGACCCTGAACCCTAAACCCTAAACCCTGAACCCCCCAAAACATCCAGATGCGTTAGGAGCTCCGTGGCCAGCTCCGCGAGCAGCGCAGCATCATCCACCAGCAGTTCCTAGGGTCTCAAGTGATTAGGGTTTAGGGGTTTAGGGTTTAGGGGTTTAGGGTTTAGGGGTTTAGGGTTTAGGGGTTTAGGGTTCAGGGTTTAGGGTTTAGGGTTTAGGGTCTGGTAGTAGCCAGAGTCTGGGTTGAAAAAAAGGGTCTGGTAGTATTTAATTTGGGGATACTATGGTACCCAATAGAGTAAGATTCTACCCTCCTCTTGGGGTATCGTATTTTTATATAAGGAATATTATCTTACTAGGTTCAACCACAAAAAACACTATTCAAGTAGTTTCAGGCTTCAGGGTTTACGTAGGGGTTTAGGGTTTAAGATTTAGGGTTTAGGATTCAGGCTTCAGGATTTAGGGTTAAGGCTTTAGGGTCAAGTCCGGGTTGAAACAAATTCCGGCAGCCGCTCAAGTCCAGGTTCGAAAAAGAGGGTTTAGAGTTTAGGGTTCAGGGTTTAGGTTTTAGGGTTTAGGGGTTTAGGGCATCAAGTGGACCAGATGCAATAAGGGTTCTTGTCCCAAGTGGAATAGTTTATAGCAAGTTAGAGGGCACCCCTTCCGATTTCCAGTATCTTTTACAGGTCACTACAATGTTACAAGTCGAGGGGGGCCTGAACCCTGAACCCTCGACCTTAAATCGCGTCCTCAAGAATGGTCCTGAAGCGATGGGAGGTCTTGATTCAGTCCCCGCATTCCATAGGGTCCCGTCATATTCATATCAAAACACCCCACTCCTAGTATGAGTTATACAAAGAACATCTTCACATATATATATATATACATATATATGTATATGTTGGTGTGCTTAATGTTAGTATGACGGGATTTTTCTTCAACCTAAGCTGTGAGATGCAGCTTTAGTCTCCCAACCGCCACGCGGTGTAGGGTTTGGGGTTTGGGTTTGGGGCGCCCTTCCAAAGCCTAAAGCCTCAACCCTTTAATCTGAATCCTCAACTTGTGTCAGTGTTGGATATAATCACAATTTTTTGTGGTATTAGATTCATTAGATTATGAACCTTGAGAACATTCCGACCGCGAAGCAGCAGCCCTAAACCCTAAACTTCCGCGCGTAAGGAATTCTCGCTTGTTAAGGAGTGATTAATTAAGTTGAGTCCAAACCCTTAAACCCTAAACCACAGACCTTAAGCCAAGTTTTCATCATGGTCTGTGAGGTTCCTCCAGCTGGCCGACCTCGAGGACAATGTTTATTGACTTCTTGGGTCTAGTTATTTTCATGCCTTTGGCGATCTCGATTTAGGGTCTTTAAGTTTGAGGTTTTGGGGTTGAGGTTTTGGGTGTTCAGTTTTTGCATGGATTCTCCAGGGGCTGTTGGTAGGGATATGTAGGGTTTGCACTCCCGCAAACAAACGCGGAACCCGGAAAGGGGTTCTGTGCTTTGTCGGCTCCGTCCCCGGCTTCACCCCAAACCCTAGACTGCTAAATCCTCAGCACCTAAGCCCTAAAGACCTAAACCCTAAACCCCTGAGCCGTGTGTGGCCTCCAAGTGTCCCAAGGCTTCGCGCACCCCACACCCTAAGTCGTGACAGCTTAGGAGGCCATTAGAGGCCTAAGGTAATGACAGCCTGCGTATCATTGTAGTTATCACCTGGCCCGAACCATACTCAGGGAGTTTGCGAACTTACAATTGAACTTATAGCTACCGTAATTTTTCAGTTTTAACTACAGATATAACTGGGTTGTACTTACCTGGGTCTGCTCGTGGGGGCTGACGGTTTTGGATCTCAGGTTTGGGGTCCTTGAAGGGACCCCTGTTTCGAGAACCCCCAGACCTGCAAAAGAGGTTCAGAGCTCAGAAAACAAACAAAACCCTAAACCCTAGCCCTACACCCTTGCCCCCTTCATCAAATAGTTTCTTATGGGAAAACCTTGAAGGAGCCACAAAAAAAGGTCCCTACTGGCCCACAATACGTCCTTATATTGACGGCGCCCACATCACCTCTATGACTTCAGCCCTGATCAAATTCTGCATGCCAGAAGGAAGATGAGACGCGCCGACTGCAAACCGTGGGAAGCATCACCAGTGCAACTTTGAACAGCATTATGTATCGGATTGTATCGTTCAGGGCTTTAGCCCGATTGGCCTGCTAATGAGCATTAAAACCCCACCACAAAACAAGATTAATTAATAACCTTCAACGGCCTCTACGAGTTCAAGAATCCCGAAACCCAGTCTAGAATTAAATTGATCTTGCACACGTACAAGATTGCTCAAGAACAGTATAGAACAACACTGATCAATCTGGAGGGTACCTTCGGTTAGGCCTCCACGCATTAATAGTGGAATAGCCGAAAGCCTAGGTGTCCTCTTACAGTTTCCAATATCTCTTCTGGTTACCATGAGTTGGTGGCGGCCCAATCCTAATACCCAAGCCCTAAACCCCAAGTCCTCCACAAGAAGAGCCCAGGCAACCTGGGCAACTACGAAGGCCGCACTGGAAGCTGGATCATATGGTTCAGGATTTTTTTTTGAGTTTGGGGCCTCATAGAGGTTGATGAGCTTAGGGTGTACGGTCAAAGCCACCCGGCTAGGATACATGTGAGCACCAATTTCGAGGTTTTGATTCCCCAAGCTTTGCGCGCCTTGCGCCAAGAGAGTAGGGCCAGCAAATGGGCAAGGAAACCATTTGGGTGGTTGTCAAAAT